AAACCACCCAAGAGCAAGCCTAGTAGAAAACCCCGAATAGAAAAATCCTTATTTATTGGAGCAAGAGCGTTTATAAGATCGTCCAAAGAAGGCACACCGTTTGTCATTTATGCGACTCCAACTACCGGGGAGAGGATCTCGACAGCAAGTATACCGCAGCAATATAAGGATTTTAAAGACGTGTTTCAAAAGAAAAATGCCGACATGCTACCGGAACACAGACCATATGATTGCGCCATAGACTTACAGGAAGGGGCACAACCGCCTTTTGGCCCAATCTACAATCTATCTAGATGGAGTTGGCGGAATTGCGGAAGTACATCGACAAAAATCTAGCCAAGAACTTCAGTCGTCATTCAAAATCGTCAGCTGGAGCACCCATCTTATTTGTAAAGAAGAAAGATGGCTCATTGCGGATGTGCGTGGACTATCGAGGCCTCAACAAGGTAACAAAGAAGAATCGTTATCCGTTACCCTTGATTTCTGGTCTCTTAGAACAACTTGGACGTGCAAGGATCTTTACAAAAATTGATCTAAGGGGAGCTTACAACCTCGTACGAATCAAGGAAGGAGATGAGTGGAAGACAGCGTTCCGTACAAGGTATGGCCATTTTGAGTATAATGTCATGCCCTTTGGTCTTACCAATGCTCCAGCGGTCTTTCAACATATGATGAATGACATTTTCCGAGAGCACCTTGATGATTTTTTTGTCATCTATTTGGATGATATTTTGATATTCTCCAAAAATGAGGAAGAGCATGAAAAACACGTTCGTTTAGTCTTGGAGAAACTACGCGAACGAGGACTATATGCCAAATTGGAGAAGTGTTTATTTCACTAAATAGAAATGGAGTTTTTGAGGTTTGTTGCGACTACGGAAGGCTTGAAGATGGACCCCAAGAAGGTGGAAGCAATCGTGTCTTGGGAGGTTCCAAAGACGGTTAGAGACGTACAATGCTTTCTTGGTTTTGCTAACTTCTATTGGATCTTTATCAAGAATTACTCTCAAGTTGCTGCTCCTCTCACTCGGTTGACATGCAAGGATAAGTTGGAATGGGAACCTCTAGCAGAGAAGGCATTTCAAGACTTGAAGACCGCATTTACTACGGCTCCAATCTTGGTACATCCAGACTTTACAAAGGCCTTTTATTTAGAAACTGATGCTTCGAATTTTGCTTTAGGAGCTGTACTTTCACAAATGGGAGAAGACAAAAAGTTCCATCCGATTGCATTCTATTCTCGAAAGTTCTCTGCTGTTGAAATCAATTATGAGATCCACGATAAGGAACTTCTTGCTATAGTGAATTCTTTCCAAGAATGGCATCAATTTCTTGAAGGAGCTGCACATCCAGTGACCGTATACACAGATCACAAGAATTTGGAGTATTTCATGTCGGCTTGAGTTCTAAATCAACGTCAAGCTCGGTGGAGTATGTTGCTATCTAAGTTTGATTTTGTTATCACTTATCGACCTGGAAAGCAACAAGGACTATCTGATGCCTTATCGAGGAGATCATATCTTGTACCAAAGGCTGGAGAAGCAGCGTTTGATCAACAATGTACGACATTGTTGAAGCCAGAGCAATTTCAGCTTTGTGCTACTATTGTGCCAATTGATGCTGACTTCTTGAATGATGTACGTGCCGTGACCATTGAAGATTCAGTAGCCATTGATATTAAGTAGCGTGCCAATGACGACAAGTTCAAGGTGGAGGGAGATCTTTTATACTTTGAGGAGCGGTTATATATTCCAAAAGGACGAGCACGACTCCGAGTTCTTCAAACTCGCCACGATTTTCCAACTGCAGGACATTTTGGATTCAACAAGACCTTGGAGCTTATTTCTCGAGATTTTTGGTGGCTCCAAATGTGGAAGGATGTGAAAGATTTTGTCCTCTCATGTGACATCTGTTCAAGATCCAAGAATCCTCGGCATCGCCCTTATGGACTCCTACAGCCATTGTCGATTCTATGTCGACCATGGTCTTCAATTTCCATGGACTTCATCACGGACCTGCCATCATCGAACTCATTTGACAGCATCTTTGTCATGGTAGATCGGCTTACAAAAATGGCGCACTTTGTCCCTTGCAAGAAGACATCGTCCAGTGAAGTCACAGCAAGGCTCTTTCTCGATAATGTGTATCGTTATTATGGACTACCAGATGATATCATATCAGATCGAGGAACCCAGTTCGTATCAAAGTTTTGGAGATCTCTCTTTGAGATACTGAAGGTGGATATCAAGCTTTCTTCGGCTTTTCATCCTCAAACTGACGGTCAAATGGAACGTGTGAACCAAGTCTTAGAACAATACTTACGATGCAGCATCAACTATCAGCAAGACGATTGGACCACATATCTGTCGCTAGCTGAGTTTGCATATAACAACACCCTCCATGCATCGACTCAATACACACCATTCTTTTCCAACTATGGGTATCATCCGAAGCTTGATTTATTGAGTCCATCAACAAATAACAATCCAGCAGTTGAAGGATTTGCGAAACAACTATCAGAGCTTCAAAATACGTTGAAGCTTCAATTACAATCTACTCAAGAATCCTACAAGGTGTCTGCAGATAGATTTCGGAATCAAGCACCTACTTTCAAAATTGGAGATAAAGCATGGCTTCTTCGACGGTATATTAAGATCAAGCGACCATGTGATAAATTGGACTATCGAAGATTGGGACCATTTATCATCCAGAAGCAAATCAATCTACTGGCGTACCGTCTGGAATTACCGGCTTCTATGAAGGTACATCCAGTCTTTCATGTTTCTCTGTTGGAGCCTTATCGAGAGTCGTCTTTTCCTGGAAGAGTGCAATGTCCGCCACCTAGTATTGAGATCGAGAACCACGAGGAATACGAGGTTGAAAAGATACTGAATTCACGACGAAGGTGGGACAAGTTGGAGTATCTTGTTCATTGGTGTGGCTATGACATTAATGAGCGAACGTGGGAGCCAGCTGAAAATCTCGCCAATGCGCCGCAAAAGGTACAGGAGTTTCATCAACAACATCCTCATAAACCTAAGCCGATTCAACGATAGCTTCTTTCTGAAGCTTGCTCATCCAAGAATATAAGAAAGGGGTAGAGCACCACCAAAATTCGTAGTTGATGTAGTTATTTTCTCCAAAATAAAATAGAATTTTTTCAGCAGCCATAGTTTGGTCTTTTGATATAGATAACCAAGAGATAGATACTATGCCAGTCAAATTATCTCAACCAACTAACTCATGAAGGCGACCCCGAGATGAAGAACCACCTGCACCATGACGACAACGGAGGATACCAAGTAATCGATCACTGGTGATTGTATTTGAGTCCGAGCCTACTTACGATGGTCAGCCAGAAGGCATATTTGCAGGACAATTTCACAATGAAGACACGGAAGTTCATGCTTGGTCAGAAGTTGAAGGAGTGGACCACTACCGTTGGCTTCAAGGGTCGATGAACCACTTACCTTGTGAACAATAGTTGGAGTTCATAGCAGACGTTATGCGACATATCTTCATTTTCTTGCATTGGTACTGATTGACAACAAAATTGCTTCTCACAGACCTCGAAGCTAAAGGAGGGGGTGATGTTAGGGACATAGTCCTTAGAACCTTCTAGAGACAAGTTTTTAGAACCTTCTGGAGACAAGCTTCTAGAACCTTCTAGAAGCAAGTCTCTGAAATCTTCAAGAAGCTTCTTAGTTGGTAGAAGATGTTAGGGACATAGTCCTTAGAACCTTCTAGAGATAAGTTTCTAGAACCTTCTAGAAGCAAGTCTCTGGAACCTTCTAAAAGCTTCCTAGTTGGTAGAAGTTGCTTGAGAAGCTTCCTAAATAGGAGTATATATTGGAATCGAGGCTGAAGAATTCTTCAGTCTCGACAACACATCTCTTGGAGCTCTAGCTCACCTCTCTGGTGTTGTTCTTGTATTCATCTGATTAATCTAGTTCTTGCCAATTCTTCTTGAACTTCTTGTTAGATCTCATGTCTGTATTTCTGTGTCCGTGACAATAATATTATAATTGAAAAGATAGAGAATTTATAAAACCATATTTGTACTTTTGAAAAGTCCAAACTATAAAATAAAATTTAATCTCAATTCTAAAAGAATAAAATAAACTAGTAGTATCCAATCTTCATCTTATACAATTGTAAAAACTAAGGTTTATCAATACATCCTGAACAACATTAAACAATACATTAGTTCCAATCTAATAAAAAATTACAATTATTATTATTTTTTTTCTATCACTATCCAATATGAAATATGAATCATTATAAGAATCAATTCAAACACCAAACATGAATAAAATACTTGCAACTTCTTTCATTGGTCCCCACATCTTGCAATCTAAAGATGACCCAAGGGTCACTTATCCATTTCACTGCTATAATTAAAATGTGACCATCTGTAATTATGCTATAGCATATCCAACATTCTTTAACATGCTCTGTCACTAGAACTCTTTATTTTCTTAGTGTAGTATCGACAACTGAAACAATAGATCGATCTAGAGAGCTTGATTTATCCATTGAAATATGGTATCCATGGAATCACTCAAGTGTAAGAATATCATAGCAGTAATTAATTGTGCACGCTGATTTTGACCGCAATTTCCACAAGGAAACCACAAGAGTGAATTCAACAGAAATTGGATCAATCAAATAAAGGCTTGTATGAGTATTGTCGTAGAGGAAGATGGACGCAAAGTAAAAAGGGCTGCACATTAGTATCTTTCCACTTGTTTGATCTAGCACAACATTGCACCCTAAAGCCTCCACCTTCGCAACTTTACCTGCCTTTAGAGGTGGTTAAGAGTTGAAGCTAGAAGTTGGAGACTAGAAATTTTTCGAACAGTAATAACGGTTGGGAAGTTACTCTGCATATCATCAAAAGAATACCCATGTGCAACTAGTTTTCTGAAACTTCTCAGTACTGTAAAATCTGGAGAACCTTGGATTTCAGGAGGTTCATAAATGATGGGACAGTTCAAATGTGACGAGTTGTAATTGTGCCACAATCTTTTAAATCACAGCAGCCCTGTTATTGCAAAAATCCATCACATTGTGAAGAGACTCATTGCACGCTTGTGACAACCCCACCAATGAGCATCTGTTGGCAGTTCCAAGACCGGTTTTGGACACTTCTAAATGCAGTACATATTACGTAGGGAGGCCACTAACTTATTTCCACACTTTTTTACCAAGAAAGTATGTGAAGCTGTGGCTCGTCTTCAGTCCTCCACATCCTTGAGGTATGGTAGCCTACAGTCACACATGTGAAATATTTGACAAAAACTAAGATTCTAATGGGGTGTTCCTCTACAAAGGGAAACTAATGAACGGGTGCCATGAACCAATTTTAATTCAAAATCAACGGGATAAACAAGGATCATTGCTGGATCTAAGAGAAAGTTGATCACTTCATCGAAGTAATTGAGAGGTAGCCATCTTTGATCTGGTATTTTCTAGGATGTAGCTATTGCTACTGCTGGCGTTGGTGAAACTGTCGCTCGTGCCTGTGAAGCCCGTGTCAGTGTGAGATGGAGCGCTTGTCAGGTCCATAGATTCCCAGCCAGATGAATAGTCGTGGGAAATTGGTGCTTTGCAGCTATGGAAATGAGGTTCGAGAATGCTGAGCACATCCTGCGTAATGGAGGCAATCCATCACAAATTTAGTCCGGAAACCAAAAAGGAGGTTAATTAACAATTGCCATTGACGAACAGAGCAGGTGTCATGGATTGGTTCAATTTATGAAAATAATTACTATTTTGTTGAATTCTCACATGCTAAACCAACTGAGAAGGATAGAAAGCTCACCTTCATCGCTGGTCGATCATCTTTATTAAATAAGGCGCACGACAGAGCAATCTCAGCCATGTCCGTGTAGATATCTTTGGGGTAGCTGTCATCGAGTTTTGAATCTACAATTGCCTCAATTCCTCCGGATTTGAACTTCGGTCTCGCCTGCCAAGTGAGGTTACCATTCAGCACTCGAAGGCACCTCAAAGACTGCCAGGAAAAGTGATTTCGACGCCGAGCAGTGCGAAAGGCTTAACAAGACATGACATTGACTACCTGAAGATAATTTCCTGAATCAATTTCACTAGCATGATGTTTGAAAATTTCAGAAGTCTATCAAGTTGAGATGCCCTGGAATTTATTTCTTACCCATTCCACTAGGTTAAATTCATCCACTCGTGAGTGGTCAATGGCTCTTTGGCCAGTCACCAGCTCCAAAAGCACGATACCAAAGCCATATACATCACTGGCAGTTGTAAGTTGCTGCCTCAGGAAGTACTGGGGATCTAAGTACCTGTCATTTACAGATAATCGTAATGTCAAGGTAAGCAGAATATTAACACTCATGTCCTTCAGATTAACATCCTTCGGGGGTATACTTCAGCAGCGGCAACCACGATGTACCTCTTGACACTGACAGGTCTAGAAAACAATTAGTGAATTTTATGCTCACAACAGGATGCTTGAACGTTCTTACCCCGCAGTACCAGCAGGTCTGGTGGAGACATGAGTGGCAAACTCATCGGTAGCTTTGGAGATTCCAAAGTCGGCCACCTTTGCTATGAGGTTATCGTCCAACAATATGTTGCTTGGTTTGACATCTCTGTGAATAACTGGTGGATCCTGGATTTTTTTAAGCATAAAATGTTAGATTAACATGCATTCCAGTCTGAACTAAGTATTGAGGTATTTCCGACTCTAGCAGGTTACAGAATAGTCCAAAGTAACATGAAATCATCAAGAACTCAATACACCACCCCAATTCTATACACCAAGTAACATGCAAATCAGAAACGTACCGCAAAAGTATGAAGGTAGTTCAAGCCGTTGGCGACGCCTACGGCTATTTCCAGGCGACTATACCAATTTAAGGACTTGCCTGAGCCATTTGGTTCTGAGAAACAAAAATCATGGTCAAGGAATACACTTAATCACCTGTGTGGACGCCATCTCAAAAGAGAAATACACATGATTGGAGTTTCAGATATACTATTTTGCTTGCGAAAACAATCCCTTTATTTGTGTAAAAATAAAAAGAAATGAATGCGAGGAGAGGGTGAAAAACAAGAAATAATTGAATGAAAAACACTCGTAATGGTTGCAATTGATAGCACTCAATGCCACATATAAATTACGCTGTGAAACACGGGAGAATGATTTTTTGCATGCTTACTGAAAAGGTGAGCATGCAGATTTCCTTGACTCATATACTCGTAGACAAGGATCTGTACACAACATAACGTTCAGTGATGCACGTAATATACTGCAGAAAACTGACTCCAACAGCTAATCCTATCTGGGAAGAAGGTTATGATACAGATGTAGGATAAATCATTCAGCAAGCGTTCAAGAAGTACGAAATGAATTATAATGGGAAATATTATTGCCCCCGACCTGTAACCCAGATTCGTCGCAAAAACCTTCCAGACGTACAAGATTCTTGTGGTGAAGCCTGCTCAGCAACATAACCTGCAACACATATGCAACATGAGACATGCACACGAGAGATGGAGGACATCAATCCCGCTCTTGACTTAAACCCTGACTATTCTATGTAGAAATGGTAGGAAGATGAATAATACCTCATTTCGGAACTCCGCCAAGCCTTGATTACTTGTGACGGAGCCTGAGGCGCGTTTGATGGCCATTGTCCTACCATCCTTGAAAGTTCCAACGAACACCTTGCCGAACCCTCCTACGCCAATCTCATGTGTCTTATTAAAACCATCGGTCGCATTTGACAGCTCAGCTAGCTTAAAGCGTTGAACGCCTGATGGTGCCTGCCAATTTGGATCATTCGCGTCTGTTGCCACACAAGAAGTTTTAATGACCAGGTTAGACCTCTTTTCCTTAGTGCTAATAAGTTGCACAACAAGGCATATCCAAAACAATTTACTTGTAGAGCAAAAAACAATCCAGAAAATCCTCTTTCAGCCTGTAAACATTACTAAAAAGCGCTAATTGAAATCAGCTTTCAAGGGAGCAATTTTCTGCTGACGAACGTAAGGAAAGAGATTACTCATATCACAAACTGTGCCAAAATTTGACACATTTAGATCACCTGCTAGTAGTGCTGGATCGAAACTAGCATCCGCTTGCTTCACCTTGTCTTTCTTACGTTTCCACAAGATGCCGTAGATGATAGCTACAATGAACAATGCACCAAAAGCACCCAGCACACCGCCTACTATGGCACCGGTATACGAGTTCTTTTTTGGATCTAAACATTCAAAAGTCAACTAACCAAGTCAGTTGCGAAATGTGGCTCAGGCTTGAAAAAGGACCTCAGTTTCTAGTGTAATCTTGGTGCTCATGTAGGCGGTAGTTCAATGTCAGTAGAGAAGGGTAGAGCATTGCCTGCTCTTATGTACCAAGAAATAACATAAATGCTTAGCGACATTAGGACTAGAGACGGGTTGGGTGGTTTACCTGTTGGTCTGCAAGTGCACAATGATGAGTTGTAAGATTCTTGATTTACGGGACAAGGTGGGCATGCATCTGGAATCACAAAACTCTATATAAGGAAAATAATTCTCATGCGTAACTCGTGACTTGATAAAACTATCAAATTATTCGTCCAATTTAACAAAAATCACTGTCTTATTCAATAATAAGGCTCGAAACTGAAGCCACTCACTATTTGTAATCAAAGATGCATATGCATCACAGAGTGTACTGGTAAGGCACTTGTTCTCCACCCTTTTTACTTTCGGATCGAAACAATTATCATCAACATCCCAAGAGCTGAAGACGAGAAAAATGATTAGTAAAAAGCCACTGTAACCAAAGAGGAAAAATAAGTGTAGATAAACAATTCAAACGATAACTCATTTTATATCCATGTCTTCTGTCCAAACGATATATGCTGCCTAGATAATGTATAGAAAACAAGAGAGTTCTCAAATTTGAAGACTTACTCGCCGAGAAAAGTAGCAGGTCTAACTGGTAGGGTGCTTCCTGTTAAGAAATTGCATTGCAAGTTCCTGCAGAAATTAAATGGTATCAGATTCAAGGAAGACAGGTTTCGAGGATCTGAAAAATCTATTTTTAAAATCGGCAAGCAAGTGTAAATTGTGCTCACAATGTTTTCACCGAAGCGCTGAGATTCGCAGGATACGATCCTGTGAATCGGTTATCCTGGAGTTGTCTGCATCAAAGAAAACGATTTCTTTGAAGATCTTCAAACCAACTTTGATGCAAGTCATTAGCAATCAGCCATACAAAAACAAAGCCGACATCTACAAATATACATATATATATAGATGAGAATTCTTCGAAAAAATTACCTTTTCCAACAAGTCAACACTTCAATCTGTTCAAAGTAGATACAAGGGAATGAAAGCTTACATATTTGAGAGATTTTGGAAGGTCCAGATCCAAGGGGGAACATCACCAGACAAATAATTCTTGGACAGTCTACTGCAAATCATTCCACAGATTCGTATACCAGCTTTTGAGCACATCAAGACACAATGCACTCCTGGTGGAGAACATACAAAAGAACAACTTACTATTATCACGTCCTACAGTCACTTCAACCTCTCTTCAAAGCTTCTATATGATACTACTCCAAGTAATAGAATTACAGGAAAAACCTGGATTTATCATCTAAAGAAATGGATTCAGACTACGATCACCTTCAAACTTGCAGACTAAACAACAGCTACGGATTACAAGGAGAACAGGCAACAGAATTTGATGGTTTTCAGGTGCAAAGGCTTACAGTTCCTTCAACATCTTCATACTTTGCCATGTATCAGGAATACCACCTGTGAGTAGATTATTGTAAACATGTCTGATCAGAACAAACACATTCGTTAAAATTATAGTATTCGTCCGAATGTACATCTATTACACAAGCAGCATAAGTAAAAACATTATGATACTACAAGTACATAATAACATAACTTCGATGAACTCCATGCCAGAGCTTCGACCAACCACTTTGAAGGATGAAACCATACACAAATGCAATTTGCAGAGTAACGAAGGGAGTCTCACAATCTCCGCAATCGAGTTAGAGCACCCATTTCCGAAGGAAGTCCTCCCCATAAACCAGAGTCCCGAATATTCCTACAGTGGCACCATTTCATGATCAGAGAAAATACCATTCTTACACCATATGGAGAAGAATTAAATGAGTTAAAAGAAGGGATTCATAGACCAAAAAACAGTATGTTGAATACCATGGAAGAACCTACTGTAACACTCACAAGTATTCAAGATTGACGAGATTCCCAAATTCGGTTGGAATCTGTGACTTCCAACTGTTTAGCCACAATGTCCTGCAATGTTTGAATGTTAAAAGCCGCTCACAAATACAGGTTAACAAGACCAGACATCAAAAATCAAGCCATCCGCCAATCTCAGTATTGACATTAGCATACAAATCAGATAAAACTCCTTCTATTGCAAAACATTTTCAAAAATCTGAAATCGCAGGTGGTATATGTGGTACGTGAGAAATCCATGTTTCCCGAAGGACATATGCAAGCCATACCAATCTCTTTGTTCTCCAAGTAAAAGTCGCCATTTCTACAGAAAGGCAAACACAAGCACAATCCAAGGTTTTCAAGTTGTCGCACATGTAGCGATGCAGACTCACATCTCACGTAGATTTGTCAAACTTCCAATCTCCTTCGGAATGTCTCCAGACATTGTATTATTTCCAGCAAAACTGTCATGATCAATCAATTATTAACATAATGAATGTCACTAGTAAGATTCTGAGAATAATGTGAAGGTTTACATAATGGTTACATAGCATCACGAGCTTTAGGTGAATTAAGTATAATCACAAAACAATAAAACGTCAAATTTCTGAATACTGTATAAAGAGGATATTACTGACAAGATCTGCAGCTGTCGAAGGTTGCCAATCTTAGATGACAAGGATCCTGTAAGGTAGCAGTTATCGATTCTTCTGCACCTCGTGGAACAGAAACACATCAGAAACACAAGGAAAACATAGATCTGCAAATCAACACATACTTGTACACGGATATTCATTCCTAGATTCTTCAAAAACTCCATTCTAAACCAGGAAGAACTTCCTCAATATACGAAAGGAAAGGGATACAAACTAACATATTAAATTTGGAGCATACTCATTCAGCCAGGAACTAAATTTGTTGTAAGTCTTGCATAAAGCTTCAACCTGAGAAAACTTACAGCTCTGTGAGGTTGAACAAGTTGAAAACGGCATCGGGTACGCCTACACCCTTTGTCAAGCCGAGATTCCATGAAACATTGCTGCGAGCACACGTTATTCAGATTCTCTCGGCTTGGAACACTTTTTGATTTGTACCATTATCATCAATGTGTTTTCTGAAATAAGATGAACCAATTAAGAGCATATTTAATTACATGATATACCCCCCCCCCTCTCTACACACAGACCAGATGGAGAAGAGCTACAAGGACGAAAAATGTTCCGCCAACACGAAGACATGAATGTACGAAATGCTACCATAAGAAAACCAGAAAACTTTCAAAAACAAACAGCTGCGAGCAAGAATCATGTGTCCACCACGCTCTGATACTTACAAAGACTTAAGCGATGTCAAATTTGCAAACGGCCTTAAATCTCCTGTAACATGATTCCATCCAGATAAGTACCCAAATTTCTGGGGATCGAAATTGCTCGCATCGAAATGCTCCAAGAAAGTGAGCTTACGAATGGAATCCGGAACATCTCCGGCCACCCCCAGAAACGTGACATTTCTGCTCATCGAACCCACTCTTCAATCGTCAAAACATATTTTGCATCCCTTGAAAATGAGCTGAATCATGAATACGGTTGTGAGCCTCATTGAAAGGGAATTTTAAAACGACGACGAATTGGGTTTCGCACGCAAGAAGAGCTTCAAGTAGTTTAATCGAAGAAGTAGAGGAAAGGCTAGGCAGAGCACATATTTTTCGATTACATAAAGGTGCGGAGTATTACAAATATATGACGTGGTTGCCCAGTGGGTCGCATTTGACCCCTGTCCAATTAAGACAGGGATTTGTACCCAAAACGTCCCAGGTTGCATTGATGCCCCACTTCGCTTTTATGTCCAACAACGCAGTAACTGCAATTTCCGAAGAAAGAAAAGCATTCAGCAGCTGCAAATAAGATAGCTCACAGCATGAAGACGAGACGGCATCTATAGAGTTGTAAGCAGAATTTTCGCCAGGACTTGAATACTTTCACATCGCTACTACGATGCAATGGGGTTCAAAGAAACTCTATACCTTCTTCATTGCTTAAAGCCGCATTCGAGCACCCTAACGAGCCTACAGTGATCACCAAGCCCAGTTGCCACCATTTTAGGGCCATTGAATAGCCCACAAACTAATCCTGCACAGATGCAATATTTATAATGTAATTACAACATGCTGCTATTCGAATCATCAGAGTCTTCTTCATCCAGAAATCCAGTTGATTGTCAAACTATTCTGTACACGACAGTCTACCATGGCCAGTTCTAAAGTAGCAAATGGCCTACTTCTTTAACAGTTCATAAGCGTCTTGTTTGAGGAAAGACTTCCGCAAGATTGGTGGGTAGAGGTAGCTTCTACATGAGCACAAACCACCTTACGAGCCGTAGATTCAAACAGGCTAGTTTTCCACATGATAACGCTTATCAAGTTATTACAGTCAGCGATATGAACTCAGTTTCAAAGGAAGTTTCGCTGAGCTTGTTATCAATTGCGATTTACCATCCATTTGAATAATCGAGATTTGATTAAAGAAAGACGGAACATGTCAGACATTGTTTGAATCATTGCCCCGTCTACTAACTCTTGAGCAGCCATCAAGATTCGGGTTCAATTCTTCGCTGGGCTTAGGATCTGAAAGTGCAGCAAAGTGCATGCAGAAGCTCCAGCTTTGCTACAATTTTCTGCTGGGAAGCACCTTAAGCAATGTTTTCCCACGGGATAAACCCCAGTTTTCCTCGTAAGTGAATGAATTATAATACCTATTTGTGTATGTTTGTTTGTGTACTTGTCTATATATTTATGCAGTTGAAGGTCCCACAGCTCTCCTAAATGAATATTGGGGTTAATCACGGCAACAAACTAACTCTGAGGTGAGGAACCACACGGCCGGCATTGGTATGCACTTCGCAAAAAGCGCTGCAGTACTCGTGCTTAAAGTCCAGCGGACATTCAACTGTACATCCTGAGCTGGCGTTTACACAGCGTTTCCTTCAAGAGGGTGTTCGACTTACCTTCACACAAACCGAACAAGAAACAGAAGCTTTCTGTGAGGCGCTTACTCCGGGATTGGAAAACCAGGTGCTCTTAAGCCACTTCAATCGTCCAACTTAACAAGACAATTCGCTGACAATGGCTTCCTCTTGTCCTTCACTGCAGAGGACACTTCCCTCTTTTCAGTTCGTCAATCTCCACCTCCCAAACAAAGAAGGACAACACCAACTCGAAGTCTGCCAAATCTTTCCGCATGCTACTTCTTCTACGCTTCATGTTGTTCCATGATCGCTGCTCCAGCTCACCACTAAAAAGAAACCAAAACTAGTCACAATACGAAACGATTGTCGTTGTGATTCCAACCCCAAACCAGCAATCCCCGTAGGTTCCGAATACGAGCAACAGTTCCACGGCTCTCAAGGTCACTTGAATTGACACAAAAATCACACACACACGCTATCATACACAACCCCAAATCCTACAACCCCGCAACGGCATCATCATCAGCCAAGGTGCGCTGCAAAATCAGGCACGTGGTCGGCACGTAGTGCTTTGTAAAAACATGCTCACATCACACCTGACACAACAGCTCACATATGTTGACTTTCTCGTCACCCTCATCAGCCCAATGCGATCTCCCCCCCCCCCTCCCGAGCTGGGTAAACATGAGTCATCTGCAACAAGGAGAAGCTTCGACAAAACAAGGATGAATGCTCCAAGAGCTAGCACCCTACTTCGCTGTCTCACACACACACGCAGTCACTGACAACAAAGTCTTGAGATGAAAAAGGTAAAAGAAGACCAACATAGTTGTGGTCGGCCCCATGAAGCTCCATAAATAGCGCGTGAGTGGACCCAGGTTGCAATATATCCTCCTCATCCCCCTCCCTCCCTCCCCACCTGGGTGCTTCTTTTTCTTATTCTTCTTCCACTTGGCCTCGTGCCTTACCAATCTGTCTCGACCCTCACCCACTTTCAGCCCTTTCAGATCTGGACCAGTGACATTTGCAGCGTGAGCGGCGGCAGTGGCAGGGAAAGAGGCTCTCACGTTTGCATACCCTCCGAGAATAGTCTGCCTCTCCTCTCTCCCTCTCCTCTCACACAGATGATGGCAATCACTTCTACTTCACAGATGAAGATAAAATTCTCGGGGTGGGTCCATACTGCGACGATACCTCAAGAGCTTCTTCGGTAAGGGGATGATGATGATGCATCACTGCACAGACTGCACAGTCTACACAGTCAGTGACGCTGTAGCAATGGATGGGAGTGTTGTATTCTATTTCTTCTTCATATTTTAGTGTATTGGTATGTCTGGAATCTGCTTGTTTTTCGGCGTTCGACATGCTCTCGGTTGGTTGGGAAGAACTTTACAACACACATGCTTTAATGTGGTGCTCAGTTGCGAGTTACTCAGGTCAATGGGGATATGGACATTCTGGTCAACTCCCCAGTGAACGGGTTTTTCAACGCCACTGCGTGTGTAGAGTCGAAGCAGGAAAATGAACTCTCGTCCAAGAATGCTGGGTGGAGACTATGATGGAGTATTGACTTCAATATATATATATATATATATATATACATCTCTATAATTGGGGGGTGGTTGGTTGAGGAGGAAAGTGGGTGGAGAGGAAAGTTAGACATAAAATTGCAGAATCACCAAATTGTGAAGTTGATGAAACAGAGAGAGCGTCAATCTCCAAAGTACTAGAGTACAATTTGTTTGTTAGTGGTATGGGAAGAAATTGGAGCATCCTTTTTTTGGTCTCCACCCTAATCAGCTCTTTAAAGTTGTCTTCTTTTAGTTAGACTAGAAAACAATTTGTATGTGGACAAGTTAATAGGTAATGAAGGCAAGTCTAAGTTGCCATTGAGAAGAATCATCTCCATTTCAATAAAAGGATTAGAAAAGGGTGTCAATAACTCTTCAATTTGTCATTAAATCATTGGTCCACTTAGTTCTTTTACCAATATTTCCCTTACACCTATTCTCTCGTTTTTTCTTGATAATTGTAGGTATTTCGAAAAATAAGTAAAATAAATAATAATAATAATAATAATAATGTAAAAAGTTGAGAAAACGAATAATTGAAAGAGTGTTTGGTGCCACTTCTGGATGCAAATTTAGGTTCATTAGGTGTTGGAAATACATCTCAAAAGATTTTCAAAACCTGTATATTTAGAGTGGAATATTGATGTGTAATTATTGCTTATTAAAGAGGAAAGCAAATTGGCATTTGAAGTTGTTAAAAAAAATTGTTTAAAACATAAGATGTTCTTCTTTAGTATATCCAATCTTCTTAAAAGTAGGATGTATAAAATCATATTTAAAAACAAATTCTTCATATAAAAATATTTATGTTAATTATCATTGTATATTGTTTATTTAAATTAATTTCTCCAAAATAAGGATATAGGTTTTTATGAATTTTTTATTTATTATTCAAAACTAATATATAATAAAGTAATTAATATTTATTTTCAATAAAATTTACTTTTTATATTTTTTATTACATAAATATATATATATATATATATATATATATATATTCTATTATAAATCAACCAATATGGCCTACATAAAACCATATAATGTGCTAACAATTTTTTCTACTTCTTTTTTTCTAACAATTTTTGCTAATAATGTTTTTTTTAGAATTTTGTGAAGCTATAAAATAAACATCCAATAGTTTGGATTCTTGTTTTTAAAAGAGTCTACATGAGTTTTTTGTCAACTTATACATATAAAGATAAAAAAAAAGATTATTTTTCGTATTTTCAATGCTTCTATTATATTCCTCTCTTAATCAGCAATTCTTTGATATCTTTATATTAAAAAACACACCTTCTAAAATTATATACATACATTTTTAGCATTAATCTTATTTTTAATTACATACATATATAAATATATATATATATATATATATATACATCTTGATATATTTAAATTAATTTTTATTTATTTTTTACTTTTATTTATGTTTTCTTTTGAAATAAATTTTATACTTCTTTTTATTAATATTTATGGAAATTACTAGAATTAGATAAATTATTTCTCAAGCATATAGCTCTTTAAGTTCTTATTGATTTAAAAATTTATAATAAGTTTTATTTAAGTATGTTAATACATAATATTATTTATGTGATTTATAAAAAAAGACTAATTTTTTTAATATTACAAATCAAACCAAATAATTTCTATTCAAATATAAATAAGATCATTTTGTTTCGTTAATATTATCACAAATATTTTGATTTTGAATTTTATGATAATTTATGTAATTAAAATGAATAAATAAAATGATCTATGTTATATTTTTATACAAAGACTTATATAAAAAATAATCATCAATTTTTAAAATTGTATCATATAATTTGAATTTAATTTAAAATTGATCAAGGATTTTAGTTTATATCAAAGTTTTCAAAGAAATTCTTTAAAATCTTAAATATAAAAATCAAACTTTTATCAAAAATTTATTGTTAAACCAACACAAATAAATAAAGTTACATATCAGATATTATAGAAATAATTACATCACACCAATATTTATTTTTAATTCTCTCTCTCTCTCTCTCTCTCTCTCTCTCTCTATATATATATATATATATATATATATATTTATTTATTTATATTTATATTTAAGTGAATTTAGTTATACAATAAAATTACATGATTTTAAATTGATTTTACTTATTATTTATAAATTAATACTTTCAATATTTAAAAGAAAATAACTTTATAATAAAAATGTTATATGTTAACTTTTTAAATTTTATACAAATGTAAAGATATAATAAAATAAAAATTCAAGAATTATTTGAAATAAATAAATAAGATTAGATAAAGTAATATTAAATATTCTTTAAAATATAAGATATATTTAAAAGTAATAATGTAATTTAATTATATTTTATAATAATATAAATTTATTGATAATGGTATAAATATAGAAAATTTATTATTAAAATAATATAAATATATATCACCAAAAAATATAAAAAATAATAAGAAAGAAGATAATAAGAAATTAAAATAATTTTTATTAAATAGATAAAAACTAAAAAGTCTCAAATCAAGACTAGAATATAAAAAAGATTTGACAAGATTTAAGATGGTCTTAATCTTACTTCTATATATATTAACTACTAAAAAGACCTTGTAGACCATGAAATTTAAGAGTCTAAATTATAAGTTCATTCTAATAGAATTTTCTTATATTATAAAGCTTATAAGCTAATTTTTAATAGTTATATAGCATATTTGAAAGAATATTAAGATTTAGCTTTTATCTAAATAGCTTCTTTAATATATTTTAAGAAATAAATTCTTTACTTAACATGTTTCTATATACTTCTATTTCTATCTATATAAGTAATATAAACATCTAATATATATATATATATATATATATATATATATATATATTATAGCCAACCATTATAAACTATATATATATATATTTTATAGCCAACCATTACAAACTATATATATATATATATATATATATATATATATATATATATATATATTATAAATTAATAAAATCTAAGATTTTTATAAGATATTTGTAAGAAAAATTAATCTATGTTTTATGAAAGGCTTAGGTTACTAATACTCTTTAAGTTAATATATGCATATCTATTATGTATATTTACATATCCAAGGCTTTTGATTTGCTCATCTAAATCCTATTTTTCTTATTTCTATGTAAGTCTTGGTTTCCTTCCTTTTCTCTTTTGTCTCAATACAAGTCTTGATTTCATACCACAAATTGCAACACAAATTTGCAATAAGATGAAATACTAGCAAATAAAAGAAACATAAGAACATTAATGTTAGTTTAGTGAGTAGTTGGATGAGAAAAGGTAATGTAGCTACTTTATCCTCAATTGAGACTCCTGCCATGATAAACTTTTTTTTCTTCACTTCCAATATTTACATGCATAGTTATATTATGGTTGTGTAGGTGCTGAGATAGTAGTCAAGTTGTGATTGCATCATCTTATGCATGATTTTTCATGGATGTAATTTTTTTTCATGTAATTAAAAAATAAAAAATAAGATCAATGTATTATAATATCTAAATATATGGAAAGAAAGAAGACAAATCAATTTTATTACATTCCTATGCTATTGATCCAAATATTTTGTTGAAACACCATAGCAGCTTGCTTTGCAAGCTCTATAATTTGAAATTGAGTAGAAACAAAAGTATGAGTAAAAGATAGAACCTCATAGAAAGAAATGAATTAGAAGAGTTAAGAAAGACAATATGAACTTAATGGAACATAAGCAAGATGTATACTTAAAATAGATATAAGTTCTACTTATAATATTACAAGCTTCTTGTAAGCTACTTGAAGAATTTTCAATGTAATTTCAACTTTTTAAGCATTGTATTGCTTTGCAACGTCTCAACATTTGACTTCATCAAATTTACAAACCTGAATTAATAGCCATAATTCACTTTTTTTTTTTTTTTTTTTTTTTTTTTTTTTAATAAACAATGATAAATATCATCCGTTGCTTTTTATAACTTTTTTCTATTCACTTCATCTTAGATTGAAATTTACATCAAACAAACTTGTAATATGGTCCTTTGTCATAAAAAATTACAAATCAGCAAATAAACGTTATGAATTGAAATTCTGAAGTCTTTGCTAAGACAATTGTTGAATTATTACTAAGTTATTATATCAAGCAAAGATTAGTGCTACAAAATAGAAAAGAAATGGCAAGATTTTGTCACGGACATACTCATGTAAGGTAGTAATTACATATACAAATAGGTAGAAGTAACTAAAAGTAAATAAAAATAAATTAATTCTATAGTATTTAATATGAAAGCTTCCTAGAAGCTTCATAGATGTTGCTTTGACTTCATAGGTGTCTTTAATTGACTTTTTGGATTAGAAACGTGGTCAAAAACTTAACCATGTGCCACACATGTTGTTAGCTTGAAGATCAAGTTAACTATATGGCCCACACATAGAAAAACTTGCCTTGTAAGTCAAGGCATGTGACCTACAAAGTCAACACATATTGGAGGTCCTATAGAACGTCGCCACGTAGCCCTAGTTAGATAGTATATATAGAAACAAGAGTGAAGCCTTCTTTACTCTTGTCAACTCCTTTCTTGCTTCCAGTCTAGTTTCAAGGGTCTTTAGTTTTCTTGTCTTTTGGCAATAGTCATTCCAGTTTCTCTTTCAATATACATACTTTTTTATTTATATTTTGTTACCTTTCTTTGAGTGAAGGCTGACTTGTCTGAATTGCTTTTTCATCAAGTTCTTGTCCTTGACAGATTAACAAGAGTATACCTACAATATTAGAGCTTTGTCTAATCTTGATTAGAAGTAGATTACTCTTTTATCTTGATAAGATATAAGCATATTAGAAGTTACGGATTACCCTCTTCTAAACTGATATTGTCCTTAGTATTTTCTTTGTTCTTAAGTCCTCTCTTTTATTTGTCTTGAGCGATATTAGACATCTTCTCTTTTCTAAGTGTTATTATAGCAGAACTTGTTGAAATGAAGAGTGCAATGGCACAAATGCAAGAACAATTGAGGGAGTTAATACTTGTGATGCATCAACTCAATTTACCACCACAAGGAGCAACAAGATTGGCAGGAAGTGAAGATATAGAAATGATTGAAGCTACTTCAACATCTGCACCAAACTATGTCCTTTCTCCTATGGTGGAACGCCCTTCCACTGTTATAGAACCAAGAATTACCCTACCCGAGAAGTTTGATGGCACTAGATCCAAGTTTCAAGGATTTATCAATCAATTAAAACTTGTGATTGAACTTCAACCCCAAAGCTATCCAAATCCAAGATCGCAAGTTAGATTTATTGGTACGCTGCTTTCTAGTTCAGCACTATCGTGGTTTTCATCTTTTTTTGAACGGCGAGATCTAATATTGGATAATC